GAATAAAAATATTGGCATGGCTGGGTGCAAACCTAGTCCCCATCGCAGTGCCCGTCATTTGTAGAAAAATCTCACCTTGATACAAGAAAAAATTATTTTTTTTAGTATAAGATCAATACACTCCATTAAAATTCTATTTTCATATCCATATTATTATAAAGGGTGTGTCTGGCTGCTTTTATCCCTAAATCATGTTTGATTATTGTATAGAGTAATGTTACATCACATGTAACAAGACAGAAGTTTTCTTTCCATGTTATTTCTTGCACGGTTCTTAAAAGGTCACCACTATCTTTAAGATATGATTAGTTAATTTCACAAATGGTTGGAGTAAAACATCAATGTATTGAGAGAGATTAGAAGTTAGGGAATCAATTCCTGAAATATCGGTCTCCCGGGGTGCTGCGTAAGGCTTTTATGAACTTTGGGAAGATAATAGAATACATTTTTTTAGAGTATAAAACAAAGTCAAATATTTATTTTTTTTGTTAAAATTCCCATGAATTTCCCTTTTTCGAATAATGTAAGGAGTAATCTTTTGGTATCTATTGTGGGGTCTTTACTTAAACATTTATATGTGTCTTTATAATTGAGAATTCGTTTACACTCTGTATCATAATTTGTTGTATTGATTAACACTATACCTCCACCTTTCTCTGCAGGTTTTATAGTTACTGCTTTATTATCTTGTGGTTCTTGTAATGCCTTTTTTTTCCCTGTATAGTTAGATTATATTTTCTGCCAGGAATTCTTTCTGTAATTTTGTCCAGATGTGCCATTACAATCAGACTGAAAGCATTGATGGGTGCGCTCATCTGATTATTAGAGCAGAAAGCGGATTTATTTTTCAAGGCTATATACTGGAAAGTATTAATAATTGATCCAGATGTGGTAGGTGTAGGGTTGTTGATAAAAAACGTTTTAAGGTAAGGGTCATCATATTTTTTTTTTAGATCCAGAAAAATTAAAAATGGGTCTGATTTTTTTTTGTTGGGGCATTTTTAAGGCCCTTATTTAAGACCTTAATTTGGTATTTAGTCAGCACAGAATTAGATAAATAAATACATTCCTGTCATATCTACCATTTGGTTATTTTTCTGGGTTCTCTTCCCTCCTCTACATCCCCTAAAAATACCTTTTCTTTTTTCCTGAATGTTCTGTTTCGGTAAGATAATGATTCAAAAATGCATATCTTGAGCCTGGCGGTAATTTCCATTTGAACATTGGGAGCTAGTCCAGCGGCACTCACAGTCGGCATTCTTCAGAGGAGACAGAGGTCTGCACCGGTTCCAGTGCACAGGATCCGTTTGTAGTATCCTATCGACATAGCGGTAATACATCTGTTTTGACTAGTGCACGGTACTGCACCAATGCCTATTGGTGGTTCTTAGAGATAGGTTCCACCATCATATTCTGTATGAGTTCCACAAAGGGCTTTTCTTAGGGAGAATAAAATATCTGCAGTGTTACACTATGTGTCTTTTCTAATTTAAGGTGGATACAAAGATACACCTGCATTGGATTTATTTAAACGACTGAATACACAGGCTACTGTGCAACTATTATTCAATTCCCTATTACTTGGAAATATCCTTTTCTTGAACATTATCCTAATGTTGGGACTAATTATTGGATGTATTGATTTATTGCTTTTTTTCCCTATTTTGTGTTATAAGGGAAAATCTGCTAAGCGCTGATACTGCTTTTTTGCTTTTTTTATTTATCTTTGAAACTTGGGAAGGCTTTTATTGTATCTATCGGCTCTATATTTTGTCTTACACTGTTCTAGTTTTATTAATTGAACTGATTTGCACTCTTATTTTTATTATCTTGTAGAGTGAGCTCTGATCTTGGCCGGTAGAGTTTTATGATTCATCTCCTAGAACTGCTGTAATCCAACATCTAACAAGAGGCTGCTTCTCCTTTCCTGGAACCCTTAGGTAGGATGAAAAGTTTTTCTGACTTCCTAAAGTCCTTAGTAGTTTCCAAATATTTTATTAAATACTCTTGAATATCCAGTTCATGAAGCTTCACTTCTTCTTGCGTTTGAGGATTTGGAATGAAGGATGGTAAAACTACTTCTTGACCGATGTGGAAATTAGATACCACTAGTAGCAAACTCCCTTCCCTGGTGTTCGGTTGTCCGTACCCCCTTGTTCGTCTCCCGAAAGGACGGTGTGTGTGGTCTCCCCTGGCTGTAAATGGCAACCTCCCCTGGCTGTAAACCGCACATTGGTGATTAACTCAAGTGCTTTCCCTGGGTGGCCACCATTCGTATAACCGAATGCACGTGGTCCAGTGCAGGGTGGCCATTTTGTCTCCTGAATACAGGCAACGGAACTTGGTTGAACTCCTGGAACGGTTTTCGTCCTTGCATCCCTTCAAAGCCGGGCTGAGATGATACCGCTGTCCGTCCTACTTCCAGACCACCCAGACGAACAGCATTTGGGAGATAGGATCTACCGAACAGGGGGAGCGTTCACTCCCTAGCAGCCAAGGGGAGCATTCCTCAGTGTTCACGTGAGAACCCCCGAAAAATGACTGATCGTTGCCTTGCTTTCTATTGAACTATTCTGCGACATCACTTCGTGGCCAACCAGTCAAAACTTTTTTCGATTGGCGTTCCCGAACCACCGAAGGGATCTGAGTGCTATTTTGACAAAGTGGGCGCTCAAACCCAAGCTGTTCAGTGATATGACTTTCGTGGGGTTTCAATGTTATTAAAATGTATTTTTATTATCATTTGTAATATTGTGTATGTTTCCTGTATCTCAGACATAATCGAGTTATCATTTTCTTACTCAATTATCTCTCAGGAACAGAGGATCCTGGGAGGAAACCCCTTGCATTTTGGATGTGGAGATCCCATGCTAGGGGTCAGTGCATAAAAGTCGTGTGTGGACTGAATAAAATTAGTTATACTCCCAGAACTGTGTGTCGTCCAGTTGCTTGGGAGGAGGTGGGCTATTCACTTGGCTGTTTCGTGTTCTGGAGTACACATAAATTACAACATAAATACTAGAAAAGCTACAATTTCTGGGGAAATTGTGTGAAGTCTTGCCTCCACCAGTAGTCTACAACTGGAGTGGGCGGAGTAACTGTTATTATTTATATAGCACATTTAATTGCACAGTTACATTAAACCATACATTTATAAAAACATTAGCAGGTGTATAAAAGGCCCTGTCTATGACATCACTTGCTGCTGCAGCCTGGCACAGGTCAGAGTATTTTGGCGGTTGCCATCTTCAAATGGTCGTATTTTAAAAACTATAAATCCTACAGCGAAGAGCTTTATATTGTGAGAATCACAAGACCCAGACCTACATTGTGATGCATAGTATGTCTCTGAAGTATTAAAATTGAAGGCACAGTCGCAGTTTGGAAATTGCACTTCAAATGTGAGCTTTGCAGAGTGAAGTTTCAATGAAAGTCAATGGACGGCGTTAGTTGCAAACAAATGATTATATTGTGAAAACTATCAGGACTATAGCTTAGCCGTTGACATGTTTAGTGGCAGCAGGGATAGCTGAACGTTTTGATATAAGATTTGTGTAGGTGGGCCTGAAAATAAGGGAGTGGTGGCAGTTTAGAAATTATGTCCTGATTTTTCAGCTTTTGGCAGCTCCCACTCTAGCTTTGCCATTCATTCCTATGGGACAAATTGCGCCACAAAAACGGCGATATTCCGTGAACCATTCGGCGAAACGTTCCACAAAGTAATAGCAATCCGATCGGGAACAATCTGCACGTTTTGGTAAATATTGGTCTATGTAGTGTAAAAACTGTGGGAGGAGTTAGGGTGGCAAATTTTGCTATAATAATAATAATAATAATATATATGTGAGATAACATTAAGTGGTCTTGCTATGCAAGAACACTTAATAATAATAATAATAATAATATATGTGAGATAACATTAAGTGGTCTTGCTATGCAAGAACACTTAATATATATGTGAGATAACAATAAGTGGTCTTGCTATGCAAGAACACTTAATAATATATATGTGAGATAACATTAAGTGGTCTTGCTATGCAAGAACACTTAATTACGACATAAATTGCAATACAAGAAATGTGGTGTACATGCTACAATGCCCATGTGGGAAACAATATGTGGGAAGAACGTGTAGAAAGTTAAAAGAAAGAATATTAGGACATCAGAATAATTTTAGAAAAAATTCAACCAATTTACATTGCAATACTTGCAATAAAATTGATTGGCGGAGTTTCACTTTCGTGGGCATTGAGCATGTAGACCCCTACTGGAGAGGAGGGGATTTAACCAAAAAGCTCTCACAGAGAGAAACCTTTTGGATAAATAAGTTAAAGACACTTCAACCCTTCGGTTTAAATTTCGATATTGATTTGTGGAGCTTTTTTGAAGATTAAATAAATATTTTTTTTCTCTTTTTTTTGGAGTGTTTGGGGGAATATTGCACTCTTTCTTCATTCTCAAACTAAGGATTTTATTTTTATTTTATTTATACATTTATATATTTTTTATTTTATTTTTTTATTTATTTTTATATATTTTTTAATATATTTTTTATATATTTTTATATTTATTATTTTTGATTATTTTTTTTCATTTTTATTCATATATATTTTTGCATTTATTCATTTCTAATTTTAATTCTAATTTTTATTTTTTATATATTTTCATATATATTAATACATGTTGAGTATTAAAAAGAAAGAAAGAAAAAAGAAAACTTTTTATATATATTTTTAAAAGAGAGAAGCAAAAGTGCAACAAAATGGGTTTCACCTTTTGTGATCACAGAGTGACTAATGTATTGTGATTAGATATGATGTTAAGCTATGTTGCTATTCATGTATCTTATGTATCTTTTTTATATACATTTCCTATGAATTGTGAGGGTGTAGACATTTGTACATATGCCCATTATGTAAAGATGCACTTTATATATAATTTAAGATTTCTCATAAGTGTAAATAATTTTTTATTCAAATAAGTGATTAGTGGATATATGTGCATGTTTCTGCACCCATAGATTCTATTGTAAAATGATCGAAATTATTGTAATAATCTTATTAATGTGGTGCCATCCAGAGTTTTTTTAATAGTATTTCCTCCCCCCACTCTGTTTATTCATCTACCCACACACGTTTGGAGTAACTATAATAATGAAGGAAATGAAAATAAACGTCTGTGATCCACTTCCGGGTTCGTGGAACGCAAGATGGAACGCAAACGGCGCACGTGATGACGTCATCCGGTTTTAAACACACAGAAAATACCGCCAAAACGGAAGCCGAATACCGGCTGGAAATCATTGAAAAATTAATGGGGGATGTATAAAAGAACTGTGGGAGGGATAGTTTTTATTGCTGCTGCTATTATTATTGTATTTGTTTTCACCAAGTCCCTGAGGAAGTCCAATTGAAGGACAAAACGCGTAGGACGTTCTTATGGTGACATGCTATTTGTTTTATACCTAAATGTAAGTTATTAAAATATTTTTTATTATACTCTGGAAGTGCACTACATTTTTGTATATATTTTTCTCTTTTGAGCCGTACATACTAATTCGCTGATGGAAGTGTGAGGAGGGACAACACAGTGGATACTGAAGAAAAATATATTATTCAAGGCTGCTTTTACATCAGATAATTTGTGAGTGACCAATTGTGATTGCACACTATTATTAGTCCCTACACAGATAAACGCTATGTTCTTTTATTTTATTTGTATTTAGCAGACTATCCCCTATTCTATTTGTATACATTTGCTGAAGACAAGAGGAAGTCTTTGGGGATTTACCTGGATATTTCACCTAAATACAGGGAAGTCCTGGTTTGCTTTAAATTGTATATATTTCTCACTGGGGTTGTGTTCACATATTTTGTTGTTCGTGTTCCTGAGTTCCTGATCATAGCACAGAGTTTGTTCTGGACTCAGGCTCTGCTACATTGGTTGGCAGTGGCGGGACCCAAAGCTCACAGTGGGACAAGAGACACAGTTCGTGGATAGTGATGTACCGAACGGTTCGCCAGCGAACGGTTCCTGGCGAACATAGCATGTTCGCGTTCGCCACGGCGGGCGAACATGTGCATGGTTCGACCCGCCCCCTATTCGTCATCATTGAGTAAACTTTGACCCTGTACCTCACAGTCAGCAGACACATTCCAGCCAATTAGCAGCACACCCTCCCTAGCAGACCCTCCCACCTCCTGGAAGGCATCCATTTTAGATTCATTCTCAAGCTGCATGCTTAGTAAGAGGAGGGAAAGTGTAGCTGCTGTTCATAAGATAGGGAAAAGCATAGCTAGGTTAGGGATAAGGGTATGCTTTTTTTTTAATTTTTTTTTTCTATGTAATGTAATTGCACTTAGTTGTCTGCCACTGCTGCCAGCTTCTGTGTCAGGCTCACAGTGCATACTGTGCCCATTTCCCCAGTCAGTGCCACCACTTACATCTGGTGTCACAATAGCTTGGATTTAAAAACAAAAAACTTTTTTCACTGTTATAGATTGAATAGCAGTCAGTTGTCTGCCACTGCTGCCAGCTTCTGTGTCAGGCTCACGGTGCATACTGTGCCCATTTCCCCAGTCAGTGCCACCAATTACATCTGGTGTCACAATAGCTTGGATTTAAAAACAAAAAACTTTTTTCACTGTTATAGATTGAATAGCAGTCAGTTGTCTGCCACTGCTGCCAGCTTCTGTGTCAGGCTCGCAGTGCATACTGTGCCCATTTCCCCAGTCAGTGCCACCAAATACATCTGGTGTCACAATAGCTTGGATTTAAAAACAAAAAACTTTTTTCACTGTTATAGATTGAATAGCAGTCAGTGTCCTTAAAGCGGGTGTGTTACGCTAACAGTGGATACGTGACCATTGCCACCACTTAGATCTGGTGACACAAAGCTTGTATTTAAAAAAAAACAACCACTTTTTTCACTGTTATAGATTGAATAGCAGTCAGTGTCCTTAAAGCGGGTGTGTTACGCTAACAGTGGATACGCAGACCAGTGCCACCAATTAGATCTGGTGACACCAAGCTTGGATTTAAAAAAACAAAACACTTTTTTTCACTGTTATAGATTGAATAGCAGTCAGTGTCCTTAAAGCGGGTGTGTTACGCTAACAGTGGATACGGTGACAGTGCCACCACTTATATCTGGTGTCACAATAGCTTGGATTTAAAAACAAAAAACTTTTTTCACTGTTATAGATTGAATAGCAGTCAGTGTCCTTAAAGCTGGTGTGTTACGCTAACAGTGGATACGGTGACCAGTGCCACCACTTAGATCTGGTGACACAAAGCTTGGATTTAAAAACAAAAAACTTTTTTCACTGTTATAGATTGAATAGCAGTCAGTGTCCTTAAAGCCGGTGTGTTACGCTAACAGTGGATACGGTGACCAGTGCCACCACTTATATCTGGTGTCACAATAGCTTGGATTTAAAAACAAAAACACTTTTTTCACTGTTATAGATTGAATAGCAGTCAGTGTCCTTTAAGAGGGTGTGTTATGCTAACAGTGGATACGGTGACCAGTGCCACCACTTATATCTGGTGTCACAATAGCTTGGATTTAAAAAAAAAACACTTTTTCACTGTTATAGATTGAATAGCAGTCAGTGTCCTTAAAGCGGGTGTGTTACGCTAACAGTGGATACAGTGACCATTGCCACCACTTAGATCTGGTGACACAAAGCTTGTATTTAAAAAAACAAAAACACTTTTTTCACTGTTATAGACTGAATAGCAGTCAGTGTCCTTAAAGCGGGTGTGTTACGCTAACAGTGGATACGGTGACCAGTGCCACCACTTAGATCTGGTGACACAAAGCTTGTATTTAAAAAACAAACAAACACTTTTTTCACTGTTATAGATTGAATAGCAGTCAGTGTCCTTAAAGCGCGTGTGTCTTACGCTAACAGTGGATACGGTGACCAGTGCCACCACTCACTGCTGTCATAATAGCTTGGATTTAAAAACAAAAAACTTTTTTCACTGTTATAGATTGAATAGCAGTCAGTGTCCTTAAAGCGGTGTGTTACGCTAACAGTGGATACGGTGCCCAGTGCCACCACTAACTGGTGTCATAATAGCTTGGATTTAAAAACAAAAAACATTTTTCACTGTTATAGATTGAATAGCAGTCAGTGTCCTTAAAGCGGGTGTGTTACGCTAACAGTGGATACGGTGACCAGTGCCACCACTTAGACCTGGTGACACAAAGCTTGTATTTAAAAACAAAAAACACTTTTTTCACTGTTATAGATTGAATAGCAGTCAGTGTCCTTAAAGCGGGTGTGTTACGCTAACAGTGGATACGGTGACCAGTGCCACCACTTAGTTCTGGTGACACAAAGTTTGTATTTAAAAACAAAAAACACTTTTTTCACTGTTATAGATTGAATAGCAGTCAGTGTCCTTAAAGCGGGTGTGTTACGCTAACAGTGGATACTGTGACCAGTGCCACCAATTAGATCTGGTGACACAAAGCTTGGATTTAAAAAAA